TAATGTTTGAATTAACCAATGACATTTTCTGGTATTTTGAATGTTTCACCATTCTCTACTTTTTGCTTTATATATAGGGAGATTCACTATTATACCCAATATAAGAGCCCAAGTTATAAAAAAATCCTATATAAAATGGACTTTAGAAACACACCCAAAGCCCCATTTACAACACAACAAAAAGGCTTTTAATTTCTTTTAAATTACAAAATTGCCATTGATTTCTTAAAACAAACCCAATCCCAAAATCTCATAAAAAATTCCAAAATACTCAATAGGGCATCAAAGTAATTTAATAATAAAAATTAAATTAAATTGGGCCAAATGTCATTTTTTGGGTTTTTTTTGGGTTTGTTTATAAAAATTAAATGATGTAGGGTTTATTTATAGTTTTAGTGTTAAGAATGGGTATTTGACTAAATATATCTATATATAAGTATAAGCATAGGTAGCATATAATAACCCGGTTTGTTATAATCCTAACCGTTGGTTGTAAGGGACGGCCAAGATTAGCTTATGAGTAACAAAGTTAATGGTAGAATTCCTCAGAGGAGCTCTCGAAGCCCGTAGGGGCTGGCAGGGGGCTGTAAGTTGCTTCTCCTAAAATCCCATTATTAATTCCCAATTCCATTTCCACCACGAAGGCCTCTAGTCCCGTAGTCATGGCCACAGAAGAAATAGTATTGGAAGAAGAAGAAGAAGAAGAAGAGAAGGAAAGAATGGTTACGTTGGGATCCTACAAAGGGATGGTTAGGCTGCTGAGGGTGAAAGCAGAACAGGAGGAGGAGGAAGAAGAAGAAGAAGAATTGGACTCATTTGCTGGTACCGCAGCTTCAGAGGAGATAATGCTGCTGTGGGGAATGCAACAGCCAACTCTCTCCAAACCAAACGCATTCGTTTCTCAATCTTCTCTTCAACTGAAACTCGATGTCTGTGGTCACTCACTCTCCATTTTCCAGTCCCCTTCTTCTTTGGTATCTATTATTTATTTTTTTTGCTTGTCTTTCTACAATAATTTTAATTTACCGTTCAAATATTTCAATGCTTGTTGCTTTATGTCATTTGCATGCTTCTTGTCTAGTTAATGAAGAACTTGGTTTTCAGTGTGACCTAGACTTCTTGAAAGCTAAAAAAATAGCAAAATAGCATTCTAGATACGTAGATAGAAAGAAGTATAAGAAGAAATCTACCTAGTAGAAATCCGGACGCTTTATTACTTACTGTTGTAGCTAGTTTCTGGAAACAAATATTTGTTTTCCCCAGTCATTATGGAGATTATGGCTGTGAGAAAATGTATGATTGATGACTTCTGGGCCACAGAGGTAACTATGGCTGGGAGAAATGTATACTTCCACGCCAAAACACCAATATAGAGCTTTTATGAAATTACTTTTCATTACTTGAGAGTCACTGTACCTTGCCTTTCATTAATAAAGATAAAAAATCAAACCGAGTTTCCATTTTTAAATACTATAATATAAAACCTAGTATGGAAATTTCATAGATTTTGAAGTTCTGGGGGTGCACAAGGTAAGCCTATATAAACCTCTGACAATTTCATGACTTGGATACAGCTTTCATTACGAGCTGTAAAACGCATACCCCCATTGTGCCACATTTTGCGGTAGGTATGCATTCCATTATGCTCCCAATCCTGTGACCTATACAATTGAATGTTAGTTCAACAGTAATATTGTTCCGAGCTTGAGATGAAATTCAATACCTAGCTGAGAAATGAGAAGCAATTAAAGAAGAAATACATTGATGGGGCTACAGTTGTGATGTTGTGGCAGATTGGATTCTTTTTCCCTTGACAGTTAAATACTGGTAGTACTTGGTGGCACCATGCTTCTATGTCAACGGGAAGAGCACATCATAGAGCTTCTCGATTAAGTGGAAGCATGTGCAATAAAACTAGATGACATTAGACCCATTGTAGTGTCTAGAGTGCTCATCCGAATGTATCTGATAATAAAGAGTGAAGTTTTGGTAGCGTTACATAATAGTCAGCAGCATGAAGCATTGCTTGACCATGATAGGGAAGGTAGTATGCCCATTGGCTATGATATCTACAGGATCAAAGGCTGCTGACATAAGCTTTTATAATGAGTTATATAGACTGAATGTGTGAATATTGTAATGCAGAAGTGTTGGACTATCTGTAGTACCATGTTATGATGGGGCACAACCATTTTCGAAACTTAGCTGCAGGTTATCATAAAACTAAAGAAAGGAATAAAGAGTCTTGGCTTACTGTTACTTTTATCAAGTAAGATTTGCAACTGGAAATTGTCTTGCAGTTTACATATTAGAATGCAGCAGAAAAACAATGCCAATGTGGGTCATTGTTAAAAAAAAATTTATTTTAAAAAAAAAACCCTAAATAAATGAAGATGTGCTTTAATTTTGTTGTGGCATACAGATGCAATATAAAGACCAATCCTTTTTTGGTGCTCTCCAACATCTGTTTTTTTTTTCCCAGAGGATTAGATGATTGTATCAGAATAGATTTTGATTGAATGAATTTTAAAGCTTCCACCATCGTCACATCCCACCCACTTTTAAGTTTTTTAACCTTCTAGAATTTTCAATGTTTATTCAAATTTTTCTTGAATAATTTAACTTATTGAACTGTAGAGCACACCTGGAGTAACTGGTGCTGTCATGTGGGACAGTGGAGTTATATTGGGGAAGTTTCTAGAGCATGCTTCGGACTCAGAGTTGCTACTTCTTCAAGGCAAGAAAGTTGTTGAATTGGGCTCTGGCTGTGGATTAGTCGGGTAATTATAATTACAATCACTTTCTTTACATCTATCTTTTTTGGTTCTCTAATTTCTGTCAGAAAATATTTCATATGCTAGAATATCTAACTGGACTGTTCTATCAGTACTTTCTATTATTAGACTAGCTTTTGAATGGGTAGAATTTGAAGCTTGTACTGTTAGATCACCTTATTCAACAGAACTCTACTTGTTTGCAGTTTGGGTTGATTGATAGGCCATGCTAACAAGATACAGTTGGCATTTATATGCCTACCCCCATGAAAACATAAATCCGGATTTTGGCTTGAGTTTCTAATTTATATGCCAGGCTGAAATAATGGTTCTCTTACTCGCTGTATGCTATCGTTCTTTTCTTCTTCCTTTTTCTTCCAGCTGCATTGCAGCTCTTCTAGGTGGTCAAGTTGTCCTCACAGATCTTCCTGATAGACTCAGACTACTGAGAAAGAATATTGAAGTCAATCTGAGACATGAAGATATGCGAGGTTCAGCAAAAGTGATGGAATTCATATGGGGAGATGATCCTGACCTGGAACTGACTGAACCTCCACCTGATGTTGGTAATATGTTGGTTCTCTCGTATAGAGCAGCAACATGTACTATTTCCCTTGCAGTGTGGCACATCAAATCTTGGATGGTTAATTGTTAATAAAAAAATTTACCAAATTGGAGAAGGAAAAAAAACAGAGAGAAAAACCTCTTGCAAAATGGGACACATTTTGATGGCAAAAACTTTTGTAAAAGTCCAACTGAGAGTTATCTGCTCTAGAATCAAATTCGAAATTGTCTTAATCCAAGCATGATTTCGAATTCTAAAGCATAATAACCTCTCTTAGAATACCCAAAGGGTAGTTGAATCATTGAGGATTCTGTCATCAAGTACTTATAGCATAAAGGCATATTCCTTTCTATGGTAAGTGGTAGGAGCAGCTTTTGTATTTTGTGAGAAAAAATTGGTATCTTTGTTGCATTCTCTTACACGACAGCATCTCTATGGTACGCCAAAAGTCGTCTTAGTTTACTGCATGCTCCACTGCTCATATTTCGATCATAGTAATGAACCTGGATTTGAATGCTTTGAGACCAGAATCAATCTCATGTCATTTGATGTTCTTTCTTTTTAGGTCAAAGTGCTATTGAATAATATCAATACTCAAAACCAAATTTTGTTAAAGTTGTATTTTTACCAAAATGTTATTCCAGTGCTAGGTTCTGATGTAATCTATAGTGAGGGAGCAGTTTTGGATTTGCTGTCTACACTGCGGCAACTCTGTGGAGGTGAAACAACAATCTTTTTGGCTGGAGAACTTCGAAATGGTAACAATTGCCTTTTATATTATTTGAATGTCCTTTTTCTGTAGTGTACTCAATTTCTACTTCCTACTGCAGATGCTGTCCTTGAATACTTCTTAGAGTGCGCAATGAAGGATTTTGTAATTGGGCGTTTGGACCAAAGACAATGGCATCCGGACTATTGCAGCAGTCGTGTTGTTTTGTATGTTCTCGTCAAGAAGTGATAGTTGAGGGGGGGAAATGATCAATGGGTAATTCATAACCAATACAAGTTCAATCATAAATGGTCATGTAATTCACTTTCATTGACCTGTATTCATGAAAAAGAGAGGAAAGCCCTTAAGTTGTGGCCTGTATTCATCTCTTTTAGTCTCAGTTTTGAGTGATGCCATGCCAGAAGAGGAGAATGCTTCAATTTTGGAATCAAACTTTTGTTACATTTCTTCTTTTTAACTTGTTTGAGTCAGAGAAATATGATGCAGATCACTCGCCAGTCAGTCACCAACCTTTGCTTCCCCAACTCTCTAAATCGTTTTGATTGGTGTCTATAGAGTATGGGTAGAATCTGTGTCTTCCCCAACTCTCTAAGTCCCTTCTTCATATTCTCCTTGATGATATGATATGCAGTGCAAATGTGCCGTACGAACAGCTACCAACCCAATCATAAAAGGAATTACTTAATGAATAATGTAATTTAGAATAAAATCCAGTCGCCAATATTTTTGTGCATATAGAACTAAAATTTATTTTCATTATTCGATCATCTAAACCCAAACTAAAACACTTTCACATTTTAACAGTACTTTTGTTTCCAATTCCAATGTTGTTGAATGAGATGTCTAAAATTTTAGCACCTGATTTTTTATTTTTTATTTTTATTTTTATTTAAGAAGAAAAACAAGTTGGAGTGGAGTGTCCGGTAAAAGACAGCCTAGCCCTATGCAACGGTTAGGTGAAGAAAACCTTTACCCACCAACCCCCGCTTTTGTACAGACTACAGCTACAGATTATTTGTTGACTTGTAAAGAGGAGAGAGTCTAAAGACAATTGCTTTGCTCGCTCACTCCAGCCAACCTCGTCGTCTCCCTCGTCTGGTTCTTCTTTGTTGATTGTTCGCTGTCTGTCTGTCTGTCTGTCTGTCTGTCTTGTCTTCGGAATATTAATTCAGGAAAGACAAGCTTTGCGCAACAAATGCAAATGTCATTGCCTTGCGTAAAACAACCCGATGTCATCACCTGCAAAGGTATGTATGTTATTTCTACAATGCATGCTTGCTGCAATCTTCACATTCACAGTATGAATATGGAATTTGCTTCTAATTATAGTTATTAATCATGTATTATTTTGTTTTTTTTTTTAAAAAAATTGTAAAAGCTGCGGTGGCATGGGAAGCTGGAAAGCCTTTGGTGATAGAGGAAGTGAATGTGAATCCACCTCAGGCAATGGAGATAAGGATCAAAGTCGTCTGCACCTCTCTCTGTCGCAGTGACATCACTGCCTGGGAGTCTCAGGTACTCTCCTCTTCTTATTTTGTCCTCCTCTTTTCCCCCTTTTCTTTTCTTCTTCTTTTCAACAATAAATAGAGATAAAAAAATTTTAATTTTCCTTCAATTCTTTTTTTCTTGTTTCCTACTTATTGAACATCTAGGAAAATAATCATTATCTGGCTAGGAAAATTCGTTTAACTATTACTTATGGTTTCTGTCTGACCAAGAAAAATTAAAACTTTGTTTGTGCCACTGCAAGACATGCTTTCTTCTTTCCGGATGGATTAATTTTCTTGTAAAACAATTGTTCAAGATTAGTCATTAAAGTAACTGAGAAGAAGTAAACCTTGGTTTAAAGTAATGAAGTTATCCATGAATTAATATCCTGTTTAAATTTTTCGAAATTCAGACCTATCAGGAGCTACGTATCAACTGACTATTCATCTTACTGAAAAAAGTTATTTATGTATGTTGATACCAAAAATATGATTATTTATGGATACCCCTTGATGGTTACTGAACATGGATTCTCCTTAAAGAGCATCTTCTGTTGAATTTTGGATCTGCCCGATGGGTCCCACTCTAACAACATCGATACTGTCCCCACTTTACCACCTGCCCAATCCGTCAGGTGTGGGGTTTTACCACAAAAGGCCTCGATATTAGTTAGAGGGGGGTAATTCTATTTAAACCCATTTCATTTCTTTCACCCAACCGATGTGGGATTCCAACATCTTCTACCTTCTCCCTCACATCATCACATGAAGCAGGAGAATACTCGTATTTCATCCACACCGACGTTCTTTCAATGCAGTTATACTTCCCTGATAAGAACTTTGGAAAAAGGGTGCTGAATTTATTCATGAGAATACTGGTATTTCATCCTACTCCATTTCCCCCTGTTATTTTGCAGGCTATTTTTCCTCGAATATTTGGCCATGAAGCAACAGGGTAAGTTATTTCCCTATTTTTTTTCATCTACTTATATTTATATTATAGTACTAGCTATCTTATGTAAGATTGAGAAACTATAGCATAATGCACAAGTGGTTTCCAATTATCAGGCCATAAAATTGTTTAGTCAATTTCTTAGTTAATTTTTTATACTCTAGATGTATGCCTTGCTTGTAACATGTGTTGAGCTAAATTGGCACTTCCATTGGATGCTCAGGTTTGGGTTAGAGGTGATACGTGAGGTATGGAAGTGAGGACAATGCTTGGCTCCTCACTGGTGAGGAAGAACTTTTTCCTTCCTACTGAGGTGTCACACTCACCATTTTCTCCTATTATCTTTGCAACATTAAATGATTATAGTTAACAACAATTTAATATGGTACTCCCCACCATTTTCAACAATTCATGCTTTTAAATCGGCGATTACCTTCATCCACACTGGTGAAGAGCCAAGCATTGTTCTAGGAGTGATACAATCAGAGTGTGTTGAAGATAACCATGCTATACTGAACTGTTGCTCTTGTGACACACTACAGCACCAAAACTTATTTCCTTAGGTTTGAAGTAAAGGACAGTTTCACTTATATAAGAAATACAAAAAGGTGTAGAGAAAATATCAATAAGGTTTGAATGGTTTGTAGGGTGAGGATGATCAACTACTCCACAGTGCTGTGATATTATATTATTATTGCTAATTTGCTATACTTCTTCAGGTGATATAAGTTCCCAATAGCTATTTTTCAGGATTGTCGAGAGTGTTGGGCAGGGAGTTACTGAGTTTACTGAAGGGGACCATGTGCTAACAGTCTTCATTGGAGAGTGCGGGAAATGCAGGCAATGCACATCAGGTAAAAGCAACATATGTGAAGTACTGGGGCTGGAAAGGAGAGGTGTAATGCACTGTGATCAGAGGACGCGCTTCTCCATTAATGGGGAGCCCATTTATCATTATTGTGCAGTTTCAAGTTTCAGTGAATATACTGTGGTGCACTCAGGATGTGCTGTCAAAATCAGCTCAGTTGTGCCCCTGGAGAAAGTATGCCTTCTCAGTTGTGGAGTAGCTGCAGGTAGAGTTTCAAATCATGATATTGCCATCAAATCACATGATACCATGACCATTTATTCTTTCACTGTATTTATGTAAATACATGCATATGATAAATGAGTACATACACATATAGCTCAGATATGCTATACAGGTGTAGCTAGAAATTATTGGTATCGGGTAGAAGTTTCTTTGCGGTGACCAAACTAAATGACTTGAAAATAGAAGTTTAAATACTAGAATGTGAATGAGAATCAAATACTAATTTCGAGTGGGAGCATAAAAAAGCTAAAGCTGATGTTTGTAATATTGCAGTTGCCCTGCACATAGGCGTATAATTTGGTTCGCTTATGCATGTCAGTGTTTGTCTTTGTTCATGTTGTAATAGAGGAATGAATTTTCCGTTCATGATAAGTTTTTTCACAATTAAAATGCAAGGAATTATATAAAAAGGCTCCCTTTGGTTTGGAGGTGATGGGGGATAGGGAGGAGCAGAAGAAAAGGAATCTGATAGCCCTCACATGCCCCTGCACGTAGTCACGTACATATGTAATTGCAATTCTTGATCAAGGAAAAACGTTGCTGACATATGTTGACATATTTTTAGGCTTGGGTGCAGCATGGAATGTTGCTGATATATCTAATGGATCAAGTGTGGTGATATTTGGTCTTGGGACCGTAGGCCTTTCTGTAAGTGCAGAGACTTGTTAACAGTTTTCACTTTTCAAATATGACAGCAGCATGACTTAAACAGTAATGATTTCTTGTATGATAGGTTGCACAGGGTGCTAAGCTTAGGGGAGCATCTCAAATAATTGGTGTTGACACTAATCCTGAAAAGGGAGAAAATGGTTTTTTTTTTCTTTTCTTTTTTTCTTTTTCTATCTGGAGTTCTATGGTACAAGTCCCTAATGTATTTGTTGGTAAATAAGTGCTCTTATTTGTACAGCAAAAGCTTTTGGAATTACAGCATTTATCAACCCTCATGACAGCAAAGATCCTATTCAACAGGTAATGTTGAAATAAACAGAAACAACCATACTCCCCCGCCCCACTCCCAAGTGAAATTTATTATGAAAGAAATAAAAAGAATTAAATAGCCAGCATAACTGATGCGGGATTTGGTGGTAAATTGAATGAGGTGATTGGAATTTCTATCTCATTGGTGATATAGTGAATCTTATAATGCAACAGTGAAATGTGTAAGGAACCATGATGAATGAACTTGAAGTCATTTAGTTTGAAATTTACATATAAGCTAACTTTCTTTCAGGTTATTAAGAATCTGACAGATGGAGGGGCTGATTACTCATTTGAATGTATAGGTGACACTGGAATGGTAACTACTGCTTTGCAGGCATGTTGCGATGTAAATTTCTCATATCTCAGTGTTTTCCTTTTTCCCCTAAGCCTATCTCAAATTTATTTTTGTGTATGTGATGAGTTCTTATTTATTGAACTTCACTCATTTGTATCTGGCGTTTCTTTGAAGGGATGGGGGTTGACAGTTACACTTGGTGTGCCAAAAGTGAAGCCGGAGGTAACAGCTCATTATGGAATATTTCTTACTGGAAGAACATTGAAGGGATCTCTATTTGGAGGATGGAAACCTAAATCTGATCTCCCTTCATTAGTAGATATGTACACAAAAAAGGTAATACTAACTAAAACTTCATTGAAGCTTCAATGAGTCCAATCTCCCTTCTAATATTAAGTTTCCTTTTCCCTCCCTTGTTGTAAAATTTAGTGTGTCCTCATGTAGCTGGAAAATCTACTGACAATGTTTAGTCCTAGTTACAAGAATGCGACAGGGCATGCCCAAACAATTTATCATGTTTTAGTTTGATAAATGTCTAACGTACAAACTTATCAAATCATCTTGTTTGAAGTAGTGGGGTTATAATCTGAATTTTTCTTAGTATCAAATTCTTAGGTTGAATTTATAAACCAACTAGAACAAGTTCCTCCTAATCCTTCTCACTGTTATTTCTTCTGTGTTAAACTATTTCTTTCTTCAGCTTTAAAGGTGTGTATGCTAAGAGAGCATGCCAATTTGCAGCCAGTATGATGCTAAATTCTTTTGTTTTATTTCATGTTAACAGTTGATCTCTGTTTTAAACAGCTAACATGTTCCCATTGACCGATCATGATTATTCTTCTAGTTTAAGAAAAAAATATTTACTTGTTACATTTTTAAATTCACAAAATGAAATGCACAGCCAGTTTGAATTCCAAAAAATGTACCTGCAGGAAATCCAAGTCGACGAGTACATAACACATAACCTGCCATTTGAAGATGTCAACAAAGCTTTCAATCTCATGAGAGAAGGGA